ATCCGTTGACGTCAATGCTCACGTTCTGCTGAGTTGTGCCTCGTGCCGCTGCAATGATCGGGGTCGCTGCTGTGTAGATTCTTTACCTATGAGGCTATGCTATAACTAGTGAGTGAGTGCGTTGTTTGTATTAATACTAGAATTATTTTGTCCGTGCAGTTTGGGTCATAAATTATCGGAGTATTTTGCTCTCTCTCCCACTCACGAGCCTTAGGGACGAGCATAATGATGCGCATTATTGTTTAGTTTTGTCATTATGTGGATTAGTGATAAAAATGAAAAAAAAAACAGATAAAACAACGTTTTTATTAAAATAAGAATAATAATGATTTAAAATAAATTATTAACTAGGTAACTAGGTAATCTATGTATTTAAAAAACTATAAGTACAAATGTTTGGAATGTAACAAGTTTAAAGATAATTATTATTAGTACGTGTTACGGAGGGGGAAGGAATCCGCCGCCCCGACAATCCGCGCACATCACACTGCATCACGACACGTCTCAAGCGCCCCTCACTGGAAAGAAGAGTGACAAATCGCGCAGGTAATCGCGGTACACTCAGCGAGTTCGTGTGAAGACTCAATGCCCACGCGAATCCAGCCACGGATATAAATATGGAGCGCCCAGCCGGTGAGATTCCGGCCGGCTGTTCACCAACGATATTCCCATCCCGTCGAAAGGTGTTCAGCTCTCCCTCTTCGCAGACGACACTGCTATCTACTGCAAAGTTATCCCGCTATCTTTCATACGGAACAAGGTTCAAAAGTCAGTTGACCACCTAGGAGCTTGGTCCAAAAAATGGCGCATCGATGTGAACCCGGAGAAGAGCTTCGCCGTTCACTTCGATTATAAACGACGCCGTCTCAAAAACACTCCACCAATACGTATGCTAGGGACCCCTGTCTCCTGGCATACGACTGCCAAATATTTAGGTGTCACTCTAGACACAAGGCTCACTTTCAGGCCCCACGTCAAAAGAGTAACCCGTCACGCACGTTTTTACCTGAGTAGGCTCAACAGTATGTTGGGCCGACACAGTAAAATGTCCCTCAGAAACAAGCGTACCCTTTTTAAGGTCTGTATACGACCAGTCATGTCCTACGCGGGCTCCATTTTTGCCCACGCCGACCCTAAAATTATTAATGAACTCCAAATAGTTCAAAACCTTTTCTGTCGTCGAGCTGCGAACGCACCTTGGTACATCCGTAATGCCGACCTTCATTGGGACGTAGAGCTACCTACAATTCAACAATTCTTAAAAAAAACTCTCTGAGAACTCCTTCAAAGCCTAAAGTCGCACTTCAACCATTTTATTCGTGAGGCAGCTACTTATGCAGCCACACCCCCCTCTCGGTATCGAGTCCGCAGGCCGAGAAACTCTCACTCGGACCCGCCTAATAAACTGTCAAACGACTTGAACTGCCTCCTGGCGAATCAGGCCAACTCTAATTAAATTAAATTATTCATAATTAATTTTTTACTTTTAACTTTAACGCCCATCACGCCGAATGGCTCGGTTCACGTTTAACCAATCATGCGGGGAGATCTGTTCATGATTTTGCCTTGGCATATGGGCTGAACCAACTGGTTACTTCGCCTACGCGGAGTCCAGAGGTGGAGGAGCATGCACCTGCCCTGTTGGACCTTCTGCTGACCTCTCACCCGGACGGATATCAGATTTCCGTCGACGCCCCTTTAGGCTCCTCGGACCATTGTCTTGTCCGGAGTGTGGTGCCACTCACGCTGAAATCGCGGTTGCATTCTGCAGGCTGCCGCCGTGTTTGGCACTATAGGTCAGCCGATTGGGATGGGATGCGGTCTTTCTTTGCATCCTACCCTTGGGGGCGGGTTTGCTTCTCGCCGGACGATCCCAACGTTGTTGCGGATTCTGTCGCTGATGTGGTACTTCAGGGTATGGAACTTTTTATTCCTTCCTCTGTGGTGCCCATTGGAGGCAAATCTCAGCCATGGTTTGGTCGCTCCTGTAAAATAGCATCATGCTATAAGCAGGAGTGCTACCGAGCCTGGGCTGACGCATCAGCGTCCAGGGATGTAAACACCAGCGCTCTAAAAAAGAAGTATAATTCCGCCTCTAGGTCCGTCAAAAGAGTCATTGCCAAGGCAAAGTCAGAGCACATAGGCAGAATTGGCGAGAGACTAGTTCGTCTTCCTTCTGGAACCCGTGCATTCTGGTCTCTCGCCAAGGCTGTCAAGGGGAATTTCTGTCAGCCATCTCTTCCATCTCTGCACAGGGAGGACGACTCACTGGCCCACACCGCAAACGAGAAAGCCGATCTTCTAGGCTCTTTCTTTGCGTCTAACTCGACTCTCGATGACGGGGGGAGTACGCCGCCAACCATCCCGCGGTGTGAGTGCTCCATGCCGGAAGTGCAGTTCACTCAGCGCTCGGTTCGCAAAGCACTCCTCTCCCTGGACATCCATAAGTCGAGTGGGCCTGATGGAATCCCCCCAATTGTGCTGAGGACGTGTGCTCCAGAGTTGGCACCGGTTTTAACGCGTCTTTTCCGGTACTCCTACTCTCTAGGCGTAGTCCCAAAATCATGGAAGACGGCTTTCGTCCACCCGATCCCTAAAAAAGGCGACCGCTCAGACCCGTCCAACTACCGGCCTATCGCCATCACCTCCTTGTTCTCCAAAACAATGGAGTCCATTGTAAACTGCCAGCTCATGAGGTACCTTGAGGATCACCAGCTGATTAGTGACCGCCAATACGGTTTTCGCCGTGGTAGGTCAGCTGGTGATCTTCTGGTCTACCTAACTCACAGATGGGCGGAGGCAGTAGAGTCCAAGGGGGAGGCATTGGCCGTTAGTTTGGACATTGCGAAGGCCTTCGGTCGGGTTTTGCACAAAGCGCTTCTTTCGAAGCTCCCTTCCTTTGGGCTTCCCGAGAAATTGTGCGATTGGATCACCAGTTTTCTTGCGGATCGGAGCATCAAGGTCGTTGTAGACGGTGCAAGCTCCGATTGCAAGCTTATTAATGCTGGTGTTCCACAGGGCTGCGTGCTATCGCCAACGCTGTTTCTTCTGCATATCAATGATATGTTGCAAACCCGTAGCATTCATTGCTATGCAGATGACAGCACTGGTGATGCTCTTTACACCGGCCGAGCCAATATTTCTCGGGAAAACGTCTCCGAGTGCCGGGACAAACTTGTGTCTGAAGTCGAGTCTCTGCTGGACAGAGTCTCGGATTGGGGGCGACTAAATCTAGTCCAGTTTAACCCCCAGAAGACACAAGTTTGGGCGTTAACCGCTAAAAAGAACCCCTTTGTCGTATCCCCTCAGTTTCAAGGCACTCCCCTTGTTGCCTCAGCCAGTATCGGAATCCTCGGCGTCGACGTATCGAGTGACGTGCAGTTTCGTGGTCACTTGGAAGGGAAGGCCAAATTGGCCTCTAAAAAGCTTGGCGTGCTCAGCAGAGCGGGACAGTATTTCATGCCGGCACACCGCCTGCAACTTTACAAGGCGCAGGTTCGGCCGCACATGGAATACTGTTTCCATCTCTGGGCTGGGGCTCCCCAGTACCAGCTCCTTCCACTTGACCGCATCCAGCGCAGAGCGGCTCGAATCGTCGACGACCGAGTGCTTTCCGATCGGCTCGATTCACTGGCGCTGCGAAGTGATGTTGCATCTCTTTGCGTATTTTATCGCATCTATCACGGGGAGTGCTCTGAGGAATTGTTCGGATTAATCCCAGCCGCCAAATTTCGTGAACGCACTACACGGCAAACGTCCCGATACCATCCACACCATCTGGATGCTTGGCGGTCCACCACTGTACGTTTCAAAAGGAGTTTTCTTCCGCGTACAACCTCTGTGTGGAATAATTTACCACCGGTGATTTTTTCCGGACCGATACGACCTGGGGACCTTCAAGAAAAGAGCTTACTCCTTTCTAAAGGGCCGGCAACGCACCTGCAATTCCCCTGGTGTTGCGGTTGATCATGGGCGGCGGTAGTCACTTAACATCAGGTGAGCCACATGCTCGTTTGCCCCCTCTTCTATAAAAAAAAAATTGCCTTCGTAGGCACTCCCTCAGCGGCTCGTAGCCGCCTGCGCCCTCTTTTCCCAAAAGAGGGTCGCTCCCAATACGGCATAAGAAAGCTTAAACAGCCAGTTGCCAGTCCCCAAAAGCGGTTTTTAGAGGGTAACACTTAGGTTCCCCCGGTAGGCAGTGAGTCCCTCATAACCACGATAGACCGGCTATCGTGGTATGCGTAATGCATTTTCCGCCTCCCTACATATAGGGTAGCCCTTTAATTGCTACGGGCGCAAAAAAAACCGGTGAGATACATTCGCAGCAGAGAAAAAGAGAAGAAAGAAGAAAATCAAGAAAGAAGAAATCCTTCTAGCTCCCTATTAGGAAATTAGGATAGATCAGTTTAGTTAGAATACTGCCGCAATAATTGTAAGTAGTAAATAAATTGTTAGTTTAGTTTGTTGTACCATTCTTTGATTCGAACGTCCTTAGCATATTTTCTCACATGGTCAGATAGTCTTACACAATAATAGTAAAGTAAAATCTCTCCCTATCTTAGTAAATACAGTCCATTAGCCCTTTCTTTACACTTTAGTACGTGTTCGCAATGAGTGAGAGCTCCAAAAAGGTATAGTGTGGTTGTTTTACGACAAAAAATGTGGAACTAAAACCAATTACTTGCAAGTTGTGCAAGAAAAGTTCTTCTTCTTTATTTTATGGCTTCTCTTTAAAGAATTCTGCCAAAGTCAAGTCCGTCATATGAGTGACAACAATGTAAATTAAATCTATTTTTTGTAATTTTTTTGTGATTGGCTTCTAATCTACAACAAAAGACAACACAAACATTTATAATTCTGTCATCAACTATGATTAGTATTATGATACATCAAGTCGATCTCTGCTAGCATTACATCAGTGTGTATCTTCAGCGATAATTGCGCCACTCAATTCAAGAACCGGTATGTGATGGCAAGCATGAATACTCTCAAAGCAGAATATGGATTTACTCACCTCGAATAGAACTCTTTCGCTGCCTCACATGGCAAAGGTGCCGTTGATGGAATCGGTGGAAGTGTCTAAAGATTGGTGTGGATTTCTGTCAAGTCCCGAAGAGCCATCATATACAGTGCAAGAGAATTTCTTCTCGATCGGATTCTACGATTTGGCACGCAGTCTCTCCAAAAACATCTTCTCTTTATTCGTAACAAAAGAAGAAGTTAGGTAAAGAAAAGACGGCCATGTTGGATGATAAATGGGAATGATTGAAAAATATACCAGGCATTCAATGAAAACATTTCTTTCAACAGGAAAACGGCGATGATAGTATTTCCGTGGCGCGAACTTCACTGTCACATCTCAAATGCATATTACTTTTGAAAAAATAAATTCATAGAAATTTCAGCGATTATTGACGTATTTGAAAAGAAATAATTAAAATAAGTAAAAGAAAAAAAATTAATATAAATAAAAAAAGAAAATAAAAATAAAATAAATAAATGTAATCTTCATCATCATCATTACAGCCCTTCACAAGTCCACTGCTGAACATAGGCCTCCCTCAAGGTATGCCACAAAGCACGGTCCTGAGCCACCTGCATCCATCGACTTCCTGCATGTCTTAACAGGTCGTCACTCCATCTAGTGGGGGGTCGCCCTACACTTCGCCTACCGGTACGAGGCTGCCACTCGAGAACCTTTCTTCCCCAACGGTTGTCGGTTCTTCGAGCTATATGGCCGGCCCATTGCCACTTCAGCTTACTGATCCATTGGGCTATGTCGGTCACTTTGGTTCTACTGCGGATATCCTCATTTCTAAGTTTATTACGCAGAGAAACTCCGAGCATAGTCCGAGCATAGCTCGCTGAGCGACATTGAGCGTCCTCATACGGCCAGCAGTGAAGGACTACGTCTCAGTTCCATATGTCATCACTGGAAACACGCACTGGTTGTACATCTTAGGTTTCAGGTTTTGAGGTATACCTGACGAGAATATGTGTCGTAATTTCCCGAACGCTGCCCAGCCGAGTTGAATCCGTCGATTGACCTCTCGGTCGAAGTTGGACTTACCTAGTCGGACTATTTGTCCCCGGTAAATGTACTCGTCAACAACTTCGAGCTTAGTGCTCCCAACAACTACCGGCATAGGTGTGACATGGGACATTAAACATGATCTTTGTTTAGTCCGTGTCCATCTTAAGACCTATCCGTTGGGAGGCACTATTTCACTATTGAGGTCATTGAGCATAGTGCTTAAGTCCTCCAGCGATTCTGTAATACGGACTATATCGTCGGCAAATCGAAGGTGAGTGACGTACTTGCCATTGATGTTAATACCGTATCCAACGCAGCGGTGAAGAGTTTCGGGGATATAACGTCACCCTGTCTTACACCTCTCTGCAGTTGGATAAGTTTCGTACTCTGGTTCTGTACTCGGATAGCCATCGTAGCCCTACTGTACAAACACTTCAGCACTTCGATATACCGTAAATCAACTTGGCACCGCTGAAGAGACTGTAGCACCCCCCAAATTTCGACGGAATCAAAGGTTTTCTTATAGTCCAGATACGCCAGGCAAAGTGGCAGATTGTACTCTTCGGACTTCTGTACAATTTGCCGAAGGGTATGCCTTATCGGAAACCGGCTTGTTCGGAAGGCTGGAAGTCATCGAGTCTGCGTACGAGACGATTCGTAATGACTCGAAAACAGCACGTAGATGCGGCTCAGAAGAGATAACGGTCTGTAGTTCTTCAAGAGGGTGTTGTCACCTTTCTTGAAGAACAAGACCACCGCACTTCTGCTCCACGCCTCCGGAGTAGTGCCACCATGGAGGACGGAATTAAAGAACCTCTGAAGGACTTCAAGTACCGGTTTTCTACCCGCTTTCAGAAGCTCCGCTGTAATTCCATCCTCGCCCGGAGACTTGCCGTGTTTAAGGTGCTGGAGAGCCATTCTAATCTCGCTCAGACTGACGTCCGGGATATCATCGGAATAGTGTTGACTTGCTCTTGGATCGGTACTCACACTTACGTGTGGCTCCAACGATGATGTGTACAGCTGCCCATAGAACCTCTCACTCTCACTCAGAATCTCAGGTGTCCCGGAAACGATGCTGCCACACTCAGTCTTCAGCTTTGACATTTGGCTCTTTATGGCAAACAGATCTCTGGCAAAGACTTTGGAGCTCTGGTTCCGCTCAATCGCTTCTTCAATACTAGCAGTATTAAAGTTGCGTAAGTCTCGCCGCATGCATTTGGAAATCTGTCTGTTCAGTTGTCTGTATGCTGTCAAATCTGTTGACGATTGCAGCCTCATCTCTCGTCTAAGAGCCATGAGTTTAAGAGTGTGATCGGAGAGTGTTTGTGTTCTTCTGCGGTGGGTCTTGCAGAACTTAGCTCCGACCGCATGGACAGTTTCCACGAGCTTGTCATTCATATCGTCCACTGCATTGCAATCTTCTAGGCACTGAAAGCGGTTACGTAACTCGAGCTGAAAAGTCTCGGGATTCTGGATTAGAGCACGAGGGGGGACGGAGCGTTGACTTCATTAGACGAGACCTCTCCAACTTAACGTTTAGGTTCAGTGTGCCTCTAACCATTCAGTGATCGCTGCCAGTTTTCACCCTTGCGATCACTGAGACATCACTGAACAGTTGGCGTCTGGTCGTCATAATGAAGTCAATCTCATTTTTTGTCGAACCGTTGGGACTCGACCAGGTCCACTTCCTGTGGGGCCGCTTCCGGAAGAAAGAGTTCATCATAAAGAGTCCCTCTTTATCCATACAGTTGGCTAGCTGCTGTCCCCTACGGGTCCGTTCCCTACTCCAAATTTCCCTAACTTCAGCTCACCGCTTTCTCTTGTGCCTAGTTTTGCGTTGAAGTCTCCCATCAACACTGTGTAGTAGGTTTTGGAGGAATGCATGGCTCTAGAAATATCCTCATACATTTCCTCCACCTCCTCATCGGGATGTTCCGAGGTTGGTGCGTAAACCTGTACGACCTTCAGCGAATACCGTTTGGTGATTCTGAGTATCAGGTACGCGACCCTCGTCGACACACTCCCAATCTTTACAACGTTGTTGACGAGAGACTTGTGGACGATAAATCCGATACCTCCTTGAGACAGATGGTCGCTCTCCCGGTGATAGAATAAGTCGCCGGACTCGAGGAATCCCCCTCTCTTCGGACCTCGGATAACCCAATAATATGCCAGCGCAACTTGTCTACCTCTTCTTCCATTTCCAGTATCTTCTCGTCAGTCCTCAGGGTGCGTGCGTTATATTTTGCCAGGTCGAGTCGTCGTAGGTGGCACGAACCTCCACACGGAGATTCTTAGCACCCCCTGCCCCGCCATAACCATGGTCGCCACCGTATCCAGGAATAGTGGGGCCGCCGGAGACTGGGGGCCGTTTGTTTGCGTCGTTACTCATGCCATAGTTGCCACGCTTGGCGAGCGGATTGGCAACCGCAGTTTTTTATTATATTATTGTTGTTATTAGGAAGATGCTGCTGTAAGATTTTTATGTTTTTAGTTAGGAAATGTTCTGATCTATCTGATTAATGTAAAAAATTATTAGGTAAATGACTTACATTTTTCATTAAAGTCGAAAATGTGAAAAAATAACCGATTTTTTTTAATTTTTTTCTTTTCTAAGTCTTTTTAGGATCTATATACTTTGCAGTTAAAAATTTGCTTTTATTTTATTACGCGTATTATCTATCCAATGAGACATCTTTTGAGAATATAGGACTTCTACATGGGTGAATATTGTAATTTTAATGCGCGGGGTCGAGGTGGTGACAATGAAAAATTTAAATGGCTGCCATTTAAATACAGCTAGGTCTAAATGGGATTTGAGACATGATTTGTCGATGAAATTGATTATATTTTATAGCATTAAAAGCTCCGGCACCGGTAACCGGACACATGTTGCGAAATATCAAAGCAAAACATAAAACATGTTTCACAATTAACAAATTTTTGTGTTTTTGTTTTATAATCTAGGAAGGTTCGGTCAACTTTGTTGCACCCGCGATAGGACTTTGAACCTCCTTCTTGAACACTTAAATATTTGAATAAGATTCTTGTAATAAAATACAAAGTAAACTTGTTGAAAAGTAGCCCTTACAGAAATAATTTTATTTAAAATGTTTTTTATTTTATTATTATGAAACTTTACATGCATCAAAACATTCCACCCGCGATAACGGAATTGCCCATTTGTCAAATAGGCAAATGACACTAATACTTTTTCAAATATACCGTCGACAAGTAGTAATTCTTTGCCAAATATGCCAAGTACGCAAATACGTATAGCCATGTGAATTGCCACTGTTATTTTTACAAGTGATTATAACTTCAATTGATTCGTTAATTTTTCATTAAAAATGTTATCACTGTCGTTTATATTCCAGGTGTCTAAAATTTTTATTTTTATTTTATGGTTACAAAAATTTTAAATGGACCGGTTAAAATATTCTTTCCTTAATGGCTTTATGTGTTAATCAAGGATATCTATAATGAAAGGAGGGTGAAACGCATCCACTTTACTCTGTGGTTCACATGAGTAGGATACGTATAAAGAAAGATTTAAAAAACACAAGTCTAATGTATTTTTTATTTTAAAAACTTTATTGCGTCCCTTCAGAAAAAAAACGGATACAAAGGGAGGACTTAATGACTAAAGGCATTCTCTACCAGTCAACCCATGAGGGTGGTGAGAGTTTGTCGTAGGTGTAGCAATTAAAAGAAAAGAAAAAAATCGACGGTTTGCACTCCGGGAGTGCCGGCAGAAGTGAAAACTTGCATATTAACTTTGTGCATTTTTGATATTTTGGAATGGTTAGGGAAAATTTTTGCACGAATTGCTATAACTATCAGTATAAAAGTACTATCATTTATGTGGTAGTATACAATATTTATTTATTGCGCTATCGTACACAAATATGACAATTTATATTACAGTCGCGCAAGCGCCGTGCGCCGCCTAAACGAAACAACAGGCGCAGGCATACATTTTCGCCGCGCCGTAGAAAGAGAGGGGGATACTTCCTCTCCTACGCCGTCCGTCTTACGCATTTTCGATCAGTTCACGTGTCCTGACGCGAGTTTAATATTTTTTACCCATTACAAAAAAAGTGTACAACGCCGCTAAAGAAGTTTTCACTTCAAAAAGATAACCTAAAATTAATACACATTATATGTAACGAAACTGATTATGATTGTAAGTAAATCTTAGTACAATGTATGTATTGTACTGAGTAAATCCGAGGCAAAGCAATTCATTAAATAACGATAAGATTGCGTTTTGAATCTTTACTAATTCATTCCTATACTCGTACTTATCACTTAACAGTAACCATTTACACATCTACTAATCTAATAAAATAAATCTAAATACTAATCACTTATCACCTGCAACTGCTGCATAACAAAGTATAAATCAACAACTAAGCAGTAAAACACAGGCGTTAAGATTGTCATCTAATTGTGTGTTTAACTTTTTTGATTGTTTATAAAATAATAATATTTAATCCATTATTTTCATCATCATCATCATTACAGCCCTTCACTAGTTCACTGCTGAACATGGGCCTCCCCCAAGGTATGCGACAAAGCACGGTCCTGAGCCACCTGCATCCATTGACTTCCTACATGTCTTACCAGGTCGTCACTCCATCTAGTGGTGGGTTGCCCTACACTTACTACCTACCGGTACGAGGCTGCCACTCGAGATATGCTGGCCGTATAAGGACGCTCAGAGTCGCTCAGCAAGCTATGGAGAGGGCTATGCTCGGGTTTTCTCTTCGTGATAAACTTAGAAATGAGGATATCCGCAGTAGAACCAGAGTGACCGACATAGCCCATCGGATTACTAAGCTGAAGTGGCAATGGGCCGGCCATATAGCTCGAAGAACCGACAACCGTTGGGGAATAAAGGTTCATTATTTTATAATCAATAAATAATATTTAATTAACATTTAATGATGATAATGTAATGGTAAAAACTGAAGCACATTAAAAGCACTTCATTTGTTTGTATGCAATATGATCGCAATAATAAATACAGTAATGTTGAAATATTATAATAATTTAGGAATTATTGTAACTTTAAGCAATGATGGCAAATATTGGCCTTCACTGGTTATAAATGAGCTTCTAAAATTGTATACAACCGGGAAGAAAACATTTCCTAAAGACAATCAAAAATTATGTAATGATAATCACGCCTAATAGTATAATTAAGCAGGCTATAGAGCGCGTGTATCGCTCATTGCACACCAAGTGTCAGCAGGTGTTCTATAGATACTAACAGTACATTGATAAAGTGGTGAATAGTGATGCGCCAAGATTAACCCCTTTGCGTTATTGTACTTAAGTTATTAGTTTAAATTAGATACCTAAGTATTTAGCAAATAACAAGTTGGTGTATAATTATAAGGTAGGTTTTAAAAAATCAATAAAACACGGGTACAAATTTTGAAACGATGTTTAATAATCCAACACAACAATCCAATGATATTTTACCCCTTAAAAAGGGTTAACTTATTACATAATTGTCGTTTTGATTGCTTGATCGCAATTTTACGTATAAAATTTCTATAATATAATATACTGATATTATAGAAACAAACGAAACTCCTGATGTTGGGCTCCCTTGACAAATGGTGCTTTTTTATTGTTAACTTCCATTTATTTGCCAATTCATGGCTTTTACAGTTTTTACTTCAATATACCAACAGTCAACTTGGTACCATTGAACGAACTGTAGTACCACCCAAATATAGACGAAATGCTAGTACACACACGCTAAACAAAGTGGCAGATTGTACTCTTCAGTCATCTGTACAATTTGCCGAAGGGTATGTATGTGGTCTATGGTACTAAAGCCTTTTCAAAAACCGGCTTGTTCGGGAGACTGGAAGTCGTCGAGTTGGCGTGCGAAACGATTCGTAATGTCTCTTGAAAACAGCACGTAGACGAAGCTCAGAAGGAAAATCGATTTGTAGTTGTTCAAGAGAGCGTTGGCGCCTTTCTTGAAAAACATTACCAACGCACATCTGCTCCACGTCTCGGGAGGAGTCCCATTAAGGAGGATGGAATTAAAGAGTTTCGAAAGGACTTCAAGTACTGGTTTTTCATCCGCTTCCAGAAGCTTCGCTGTAATTCCATTTTCGTTTGTAATTCGAAGTTCCAGCTTGCATTTTTAAGGTGCTAGAGGGCCATTCTAATCTCGAAGACTGACGTCTGGGATATCATCAGAATAGTTTCGGATAAGACTTGTTCTTGAATCGTTATTCACACTTGTGTGTGGCTCCAACGATGACGTGTACAACTGCCTATAGAATCTCTCAATCTCTCTCAAAATTTCAAGTGTTCCGGAAACGGTGCTGCCACGCTCGGTCTTCAGCTTCGACATTTGGCTCTTTCTGACAAACAGATATGTGGAAAGATTTTGCAGCCCTGGTTCCGCTTGATCGCTTCTTCAATACGAGCTGTATTGAAGTTGCATAAGTCACGCCGAATGCATTTGGAGATGTCTCCGAATTTCCCTACCTTAAGTTCACCGTTCTCTCTTGTGTCCCATTAACACCGTATAGTGGGTTTTGGAGGAATGCATAGCTTTAGAAATATCCTCATATATTTCCTCCACCTCCTTATCGTGATCGTTGGTATGGAAACCTATATGACCTTCAATGAATTCCGCTTGGTGAGACTTAGTATAAGCTACACAACCCTAGTCGATACTCACAATATTTACAACGTTGTCAACACAGAGACTTGTGGATGATAAATTCGTCACCTCCTTGGGACAGATGGTCACCCTCCTGGATTACCGTGTCCTCCCCCTGTTTTCAGAACTCAGATAATCCTATGATATCCCAACGCAACTAGTCTATCTCTTCTTCCAGATCCAGGATCTTCTTATCAGTCCTTAGGGTGCGTGCGTTGTATGTTGCCAGGTCAAATCGTCTTAAGTGGCAAACGAACCGCCACCGGAGATATTCAGCACTCCCTGCCCAGCCGTTACCATGGTCACTACCGTAGTCAGGATTAGCGGGGTCACCGGCGCCTGGGGGCCGTCTCTTCGTAACTCTCATCATGGGGGGATGTTTGCCATAGTTGACACTTTTGGCGAGTGGTTTGGCCACCACAGTTATTATTGTTGTTATCAGGAAATTGTTGCTGCCCATCTCCTGTTCTCTCTGCTCATCTGCCTGTTTCCCTTTGTTGCCTCTTACGACACACACGGTAAGATATGGGGTAGTGTATATTCTTAACCGCCACTACACGGCTACTGATACTATAATTATATTATAATTATTACGAAATAATTCATGTTATTAAAAATATTCAACTGAAACGTAGCACAGCATCAATTCTAATTCCTGAAAACCCGAAGCGCTAGGTGCGGGGTACGTACTGTGTCACCCCGGCAGCGTGCCTCCCACTATACCCTTTGACATTGGAAGTAATTTTGTAAAAATTAATGTTTTCTTATAGAAAAATTAAATACCGATAAAAAGAAATGTCATAGTTCTTCTTAATTTTCTTCGGTGAACTATTCTTACAGCTTGACATTGTACATTTCATCACGGCAGTCTAAAATTCAAATATATTGCGTCGCGAGAAGCAATTAACGCGCGTAAACTTTTTTGACCAATAAAACGTCCACACCCGTAGTTTATTCTCACTAACGCGCGCTTTAGAGCTCACTTTTAAATGCTCTAAATAATCGCCCTAATAATTTTCATTTCATGTACCTAATATATGATATAAATGTCTTTGATGAGTTGTTAAACTTCATAAAAGAATAATATTTTTTATTGTTATTGACTTATTTTGAAAACTTGGTTGTAAGATACGCTTATTTTTAAACAAAAAAATTTAGGTATTAAGTTTTTTTAAGCAAAAATAAAATTATAAAAGATTGTAGCACAATCGCTTAATAATCGATTAACCCATTAAGGTATAATCGATTAATATTAATTAATCAAGTAATCGAATCGAACAACACTGCTGAAGTAAATTAATGAACACAAACTAATAAGAGTAGGTACTAACGTGAACGAAATGAAATATAAAGAATATAAACGAAACGAAACGAATGATGTATATATCTATGGCTGAAATCATAGACCATCATAGACATTGCCTAATTTAACTTTGCTTTACGGCAGATGTCACTGTTCTTATCTCATCTGCAGTTTCGCGCCTTTTCCGGAAATAAATTCCGGCGCGGGTTTCTGGTTTTGGAAATATACACGTGAACAGGCGTCATCCAATCAGCTGGTAAAATTTGAGACCGGTGGCGGTCATCGTTGACTTTCTTCAAGTGCTTGTTTATTATTTATCTTAGTAGTGACTGGATTATTAAAGTGATTTTATTTTGTCAAAGGGCACAAGAAGCTATAAAAAATTAGGTGGTTTATTTTATAGAACGTTCATCATTGCAATTTTTGACCTTCAAACATATCCTAAATATGTTGTCGCCATTTTGACCATGCAAGTTAAATTGAAATAGTTTATTTTCGTTATTTCATTTCTTTAGAGTTGCTTTTGTGAGATATGTAAATGGATACCTATTGGGAAAACTATGAAGAAAATGTCCCAGACAGCTAGTATAGTAAATTTCCTTATTCATGACGCCAATGGTTAGTAAGTAGTAACGTTAGATTTCGTCGATTTTGTAATTTTTCATAAGATTTTAACGAATATTTCAACAATTATTTAATCCTGAATGAGTTCGATAATAAAAGCAAACTAGGCGTCAAAAATCACCCCTGGGATGATATGTGGACAGTCATAATATGCTTTAGTATTTCAATGTATCCCCGTTTGTTTATATTTCCTTTGTAGGTCTTAGTTTTGACTTTTCCGTGAAAGAAATATCTGTTATATAGAAATTACTATTTTAGGACAGCCGCAAATGGTGAAAGTTGTTCAAAATACAAACAATCAATCTACTGCCCAAATAAAGGTCAAGCCAAATCCTGTAAATGTATATAAGCTTCCCGCGAATGCAGAAGGACAAATAAACCCACAGGTTTGTTTAATTTACTTGTTATTAGTAAGCTAAAAAGAAATCAAATTATATTAGGTATTATAAAATTAAAGATTACATATTTTGTAAATTTTATTATAGGACTTACCCGCATGGGGGCATACCTAGTTTATAATATGTTTAAAACTTGGTGGCTTATGGCGAGCCAAAAAACAGATGGTCAATAATGACATAAAATTAAAGAATGTTCAATCACTTGCAGTTACAATTTTGTTATTTCTATCACAGTCATCTGGGTAGACATCTCACACTTAATTCTTCTATTAATCTGCTGCTCTTCTAGTTTGAAGGATAAGGGGAGCAGTTTGGTGTGATAAGATCAGCAGCCTTCTTTACTTAAATGCAACTGTCTATGGGCTGCAGTCGACGCCATCTTAGGCCATACCCTTGGGCACACATGAATTTGGGGCCGTGTTGGAAAGTAAAAAAAAGCAAATGACAAAAACATTTTTCTGCTATGATTTCATTATAGTTAATTGGTAAAATAATAAAAATTTTGGTAAAATATTTGACAGATTTCATACCAGGGACTATGGAGTGTAGAGGTACCTAATAATGTTTTTTTCCTAAACTTTCTTTCAAAAAAGGATATGTTCCTGCGAAAATAAGGATCATACCAATTATTTATTATAAAATCTATACTTGTGATTGAAAATTATTGTATTAAATAAATCATTTGCTGTTAAATCTTTCAGTGTTATTTTTATTAAACACTAGAGAACTCATAGATTATAAATACATAGATGCCAATAAATTAAAAAAAATTGAAGCTATAAATAAAGCGACTGTACAGCCCGACAAAACGTTTAGATGGCAGCGAAATGCGGAACTACATACATATTTTCTACCTAGCAAATCTGTCAGTGCCACTTTTTCTGGCAATGTGTGGCTTGTCACTGCTCAGGATTGTCAGAAAGTAACTAACAATGCCCTCATTTACTCTATAAATTTTTGTATTTTCGTTAAATAGAAAAAGGATTGTATAGCGTAAGCGAATAAGGCCAATGCCTTTCGTCACAGGGGCCCCCGTGATGATATGCTGCCCCCTGGGCATGGGCTCCGTGTGCCCTTATGGTAAAGATGGTACTGGCTGTAGTAATTTGTAATTTAAGTGTTGTATCAAAAAGTTATATTTAAGAACAAGGTTATGTTTTAATAATTTTTCCTCTTTTCTTTAATCTAAGCCTAGTACCTCATGTTTACATAATTGCTTATTACATTACAATTAGAATTTTATATTTATTATAATTAATAGAATCAGGTGTTACTTTGCGGAAATCCATTATAATGAAGATATTCATAGTTACTTAGCAACCATCCGCTGAACAAGATAAAATGATGTGTCTTACCTAGGTTGAAGAGCACCTCCTGCCCTCCCTCAATTGCGTGCACTAATCCCAACACCACACTCAAAGCACCACTATTCTAGCAAAGACACACCATTTACGATAATACAACTTAGCTTAGCGATCAGCCTCCCTAGAGTCTTCATCACCTGAAGATGCCTTGTGTAGAGGCGAAACACGTGTCATATTATCGTCGATGGTGGGTCTTTCCTAGAATAGAATAGTGGTGTTGGGAGTAGTGGTTATGGGATTAGTGCACGCCATTGAGGGAGGGCAGGAGGTGCCCTTCAAACTAGGTAAGACACATCATTTTATTTTATTCAGCATATGGTTGCAAAGTAACTATTAATATCTTTATTAAACCAAAGTAAATACACAAATAGTTTAAATGAAACATACTGATTCAATCATTTATCTTTATTTTTTCAAAAATGTAGGTAATTATTTTATTGTTCTGTGAAAGTCTGGAGAAAGTTTGTACAGTTGATGTGCATATATGCAATTATAGTCTCTTCTTTCAGTATTTATTATACAATCATTATGATTAATATATCTACAAATATTTTTAAGCAGATACAAGTTAATAGCTATTATAAAAGTATGTTAGGAGTTACAGAAATTTGAAAGAAGCTTAGCATTAACACATTAGCTGTCCAGTGCACCGAATACAGTACACGCCGCTTGGGTTCGTCACGTCCGTGTACCGTAAACAGTACACGCGCCCTTGCCTCTTTCTTTGAGTTGTAACTTCATAGACTTGAGTTAATTTTCTCTATTTGTCAGGTCTTGTCAACAGAGCACCAATAAAGAAAAAAACATAAAACATTTCACTTTTTTCTATGTGTGGATAATTGAAAAAAATAAGAAAATAACTTTATTTGTGCAATGGAACTTCAAAAAAAACATTGGAGGCAATAAGTTTGCAGTGCGTTGTCACTCTTTTGGCTTTTGTTCTTGCAGTTTTTGGAAGCATTTCAATGTCAATAAGGATTTTTTAGAACACCCAAAGCAACATCTTCGTATAGATACACCCCTAACATTGCCAATGGGTTCTAAAAATGTGAGCTCTTATTGGATCCTAACAGTGTACTTGAGGATGATGAAGACAGGCTTTCGAATGGCATTTGTTTCAATATTTTGTTTTTTTTTTAAACTAGTTGTTTACAAGTCCACAGTATGCGCTAAGTTTACTCACTATTTCAACTCAATAAGTCCGTGTACCGAATACGGTACATGGTCAAAATGTGACAAGATCTGGAAAATTTGTTATTTATCTAGGCTACCTATGCAAAATTAGTCATTTTGAATCAATTTGATTAAGAATATTACATAAACTGATTTGGACATCTGGGGTTATCAAAAAATTCTGTATGGGGACAGTTAATGGTTTAATAGACTTACATAATAAAAGGTTTAACAGTATACAAGTATTTTAAAATGTTTAGTGGTCTAGCACTGATGTGATTCATCACAGCTTCTTATCAAACTTGATGAGCATTACTACAGATGTGTACAACAGCACTTAATATTTTTTAGTTGTTACTAGATAGATGCTGCTGCTCATATCCTGGTTTGTTGCCCTCTGTTGCACCCCTCCGACTCCCACGGGATGATATAGTAGATATGTTAGTGAATATATATTTTAAAATTGGTAAGACTTACATTATAACAGGTATATGAGTAACAGTATACAAGTATTTTAAAATTGATTTGAAGAGATACTTTCAGTTATTATTTTTTACATTATTTACCCAGTCTTGATTAGATTATTATCTGCAAATGAGAAAACTTAAATAAAGGATTACCCTAACGGCGGCTATACACGTTGGCCAACACAGTGGCGAATATATTGGCCAAGAGTTTGCGATGGCATCCCCACGTTGTAAGGTCGTTCAGTTTGCTTCGGTTCAGGCCAATGTGCAGACGATTTTATTTTAGACGACGGCTCCGTGGCGCGGTGGCTTAGCAATGAGTGGCTGCGTCGGGGGCCGCGGGTTTGAATCCCGTACGGAACAAATATTTGCATGCCCTACAAATAATTGTTCCGAGTCTGGATGTGTGTCCTTGTACAATTTATGTTTGTAAACTGCCTCCGCGATGCAGGAGAAAATCCTAGTGTGGGATTAACGTTTTTATAAAAGAATAATAATAGAATAGTGAATATTAATGGGGCTGTAAATAGATCAAATTATTTATTTAGCTTTATTTATTCCTTACATGCATCATAAACTGGAATCAATACCATTAATTAGAACTTAAGTTATTTTAAAGTTAAAGTAGTTATAATCGATTCATCTATGTTTTAAAGTTTGGTTTTGATTTTAAAATTTAGCAAAAGATGTACTTACTTGCTTTTTTATCAGTCATTTGATGTATATAAAAACACCTTATAATTTATTTTGTAATATAATTATTTTTTGTGAAAGACAAAAACAAGCAATAAATATAATTAACACTGACTTAATAATAGGTACTAATTATTTAGCTTTATGCTCATGACAAGGAAAGTGGCTCAGGACCATGCTTTGCGGCAGTCTGTGGAAGAAAATGTTCAGTCGTGGATTTTTTTATTCTTGTTTTATTTAGGGATTTTTTAGTTAACATTTCAATCCCATTAAAGCTAACTTAAAATCTATACATTTGTTATTAATCTGCACATACTTAATGCAATATCCGAGGTGGGGGCATGTGCGGCAGGGCAAGATAGTGGACTTGAAGGGCTGTAATGATGACAATGATTCGAAAACTTGCACGATTAAATTATAAGAAATCGACGTTTTTTCTTTTATAGGATAGGGTCACAAACGAGCACACAGTTCACCTGATGGTAAGTGGTTGCTGTGGCCCACAGACATCAACATCTATCCTCGATTACGAATTAAAATGCAGATGCGTTGTCATCCGTGAGGACTAAGATGGAATGCCTCGTTTCCAGTAAAAAGGGTCTCCGGTTCTCTACACTCACCATACGAAACACAGCAGCATTAAGCTACTATTTTGCGCTGGTATTCTGTGAGAGCGTGGTCCTTCCCCGGTCGAGCCGACCCATTCGTGCTACAACTACACTTCTTATATAACTGCAGCATAGCTCTTCCACGTATAAACGACGTGCTTCATTTTTTTTTTTTTCATTTTAAAAATTGTTCTCGTAATAATCCGATTCTAAATAAATTTTAGTTTTTTTTATAAATAGCTTATCCATTAAATTTTTTTTAAAAATAATTAAATGCGCTAATTAAAGTAGTAGGAATGTTTAAAGTTGAAATTGGCACTAAAAGGTTGGTAATAGGGGCGGGGCATCCACCCTACAAAGCGTGAATATAAAATTTAAATCAGGTGTGAGTGATCATTCTGGGAGCTTGTAGCAAACTAAACGCGCGCCCAACGTGTGGACGCGGCGGCCAATCTCTGCCAACAATTCTTTGGTCTTTTGTAAAAAACCGACACCACACGGATCTCCCGCCAACTTGTGGGCCATCGTTCCAATACATACCAATGAAGCCCAAACACCCGCTCTACACGATGCCAATGCTATTGGCCACTACATTCGCCACTACATTGGCCACTGTGTTGGCCAACGTGTAGAGCCGCCGTATAGCAAATTTAGACACATGTGTGTACAGTAACGGCGCCTCT